TCATCCACTATTTATGTATTTTAGACGCATCATGTTAACTTATTTACGTACATTTTCTTCAGGAAGGCTGCTTCTGATTCACTGATGTCATGTCCAATATAATCTTTGCAGTTGCTAGGGGCTCTAGCGGATGACTCTACCTTGATAAGATCTGCAGCAATGAAAATTCTTCAATTAATCAGATTGCACAAATTGGCAATGTTTAAGTTATGTTTTGAAGGCCTTGTGAGAAACTTGGAATTGTATCCACAGGTAATCTCATAAAGAGCTTTTCTTCCTTGGTCATGACTGGCTATGTAGGTTGTGTGGTGTAATTTCAAAACCTTTCTATATCATCTGCGTCTAGATTGCTACTTAAACTAACGCAGTTATTAATTTAAATAATCCCCAATAAGGTATTGATATATGGATTTCTTGCTATTTCACTCTATCATTATCTTGTCTTTCTTATAAGCCTTTCATTTGCTAATCTTTCAGGATGAAGCTGATTTGCTTTCTGTTTTGCTCAATATTGGGCAAAATCATGGGTGGTTTGTCGCCCACCTTATCCAGGAAAATACAGAAAAGGTAACAATGTTGTTCGTATATTGTGCTACAAATCCTCAAATTAATTCTATATTACTCAGTTTTGTCATCATACTTTTCTAACATAATTTGTGCTTACAATGTTGGAATGCTATTGTTGACTTGGATGTGCTATGCCATGGTATCATGAGATAAAAAAGGTCAAGTACTGTAGCTTTTCTCAAGTTGTTACCTGTGCATGAGTACCTAGTCTCTCTCTCTCTCTCTCTCTCACACTCACACACACACACGCGTGCGCACACACACACACACGTATTTATGGGATTCATACTTTTTTCATAAAGTCTTATTAAGCTAAGTGGAATTAGTAATAAAGCAATATAATGTCTTTTACTCACAGTGACATATATTCCTGTTGCAAATGCATGGCTAGCATTATGCATGCAGATTAAGGGGTTTAAGCGTTTGCAAGGGTTTGTCACACTAGTACTGCTTATGCTTCATGTTGAAGTTTCTTGCTGTAAAGGTTGAAAATCTCTAATATGACTGCTGCAAATATGAATTTAATAAGATAGTAACCTGCAGTACTTGTAAGATATTTTAAACTTTGCTTGCCAAAGACAAACTTCTGTTTGATTGTTGATCTCATACAAAATATGTCAATGTGCTGATAGTCATGTATGCATATGCATCAGATAGAACCTTCTCTTGGAGGGAGATTGGGATTTGAGAGCGCAAGAATTGTTGCCTTGTTGGTGCTGGCCATCTCTGCCCCAGTCTCAATTGAACGAGGCATATGCAGTATTCCACCGAGGATGTACTCTTATGCAGTTACTTTACTGGGGAGAATTTCTGATGGTTTGATTGGTACTTTGAACCAGAATGACCTTCTGTCTCATCTTTCGCGTTGCAGCCGATTCTCATGTGTTTCCAGTTCTGAGTTTTTCAGAGGAGAAGAGTCAGCTGTCCCTCTGGTGAAAAGTGATACGTCCTTGTATCCAAAAAATGATGGGATTCATGGAAGTTGTTCTCAGAGATTACTGGAATTAGAGAGAGTAGTGCATCCAATTGCTAATTACCCTCTAAAAATACATGATGAAATGGAAAGTTCTATGGGCAATATCCTTCAAAAGATTCACAGCCTTTGGCCATTAATACGCTGTGGATTTGCAGATGAAGCAACTAGAACTTTAAGGTGGTAATTTTATCGTTCTCTGCTTTCATTGGGGCATAATTATGAGACTAAACAGATTTCTTACTTGCATAGAGAACTTTTTTGATAGATGGTTGGCTCCAGTCTACTTATCAAAAGGCACTCCTGTCTTAACTTGGGAAAGGAATTATGCCATCGAGATTGTTACTGTTGGCAAATGGATGCATATTATTATATGCCCCGCATGGTCTGCTACATCACTGTTTTAGCACTAGATTAAATGTTTGCTCATTCAATATTCTAAGCTTTTGCACAAAATGGCAGCCATACAGTGGAAAATAGATTGAACACACACATGACGCTTATGTATTAATTAACAAATTTCCATTTATCCTGTCCTGAGTTTAAAGTTGATACTTGTAAACAAGCTGTCACGTGTCCTCCTTGCCCAAGCACATACTGCATTCTAGATTATCTCATATTGGTACATCACTGATATGCTTCACTTGTTGGCTGTTGTAGGAGTTGGAAGAAACAGTTGAAGACATTTACTTGTGATTCATCCGAACCCACAGCCGAGTTAGTTTTTGTTTTGCAATATCTGCGCACGATAAAACTGCTTGGAAGGGTATGGATCCGCTGTATGTTTCCTTTGAAGCCCTGCTTTGGGTGAGGAAATTGGAAGTCTTATTTAGAAAGTTGGAAAGGAGCCTGAAAGAGATGAAGTATAGGTTCCTAGGTTTTAGCAGCGAGCAGGAGTTGCATATTTTAGAGCTAATTCTTGTTACACTTATATTGAAGTTGTCCAATGTCAAAGCCTGCTGTCCAAGTACTAATTTAAAGGAAATAAGTTCTGTAGTTACTCGTGTTGAACATCTTGTTGGAGGCAGATCAGTTGAACTCTCCAGCTTTGTGATAGAGCTTCAGAAGATACTGAGGGAAATTGGTCCCTCAACGGCTGTCCTTGAAAATGCACTTCTGCTCCAAAAGTCACTTGAGTACTACACTTTGAGGCAGTTTATGTTTTCTGGAATACTCGTACATGTGGCAGCTAAACTGGATGTGTACAACAACTATGAAAATCCTCTCCATTACGTTTTAGGTCTCCCTGCCGGCATACAATTGAAATTACTTTGCGTAACATCTCAAGGGAAAGTCGCATATGGCTGAAGATGACTTTTAAAGAGAAGCTAGCTCAGTTTGTTTACCTGGATTTGCATGGACTAAGCGGGGGTGATGAATGTCGAAAATTTACATTTGTTGCACCCTTTTTTGGACCCCCTAAAGCGAGGTCCTTCTTACTGAAGATTAGCATTGGAATGGAATGCTCATCTGAGCCTCCTTACCGGTCGAATGTTTGTGGGGGACCGAAACACGAGCTTATTAATATTTCCGGAGATAGTGAAGTGTTTCTGACTAGGGTTGGTGGATAGAGATTCAAGTTTTATATGGTTTCAGCAAAGTGAATAGCAGTGCATTTTGTGGATTTCTGCTGTTCAGCAAGCAAGAATTAACGGATTATTTTATTGCCGAGTCTTCAGATGTTATTCAGCCTGTATTGCAATTGCCATTATTTTAGAGAAATTTTTACGTTGTTGTGAAGAGACTAGATACGCAATTTGATCATCTGGACACCTGCCCTTTTCGAGTGATTATACATATATAATATTTCTGAGCATGCGTCGCAATTGGTGGTCTGAAATTGGTTGTGGAAAACGCAATATTCAGATTTCTTGTACATATCCCAAGCGAAATTTCTAGGATAAACCCATCCGGCCTCACCATCAAGTGAAATAGCGCAATTTCTGAATATCAGAACAAAAGCAAAAGCTCTTGAAGTCCTTTTAGTAGAAGCTTACCGAGATCTCTGCTAAACTGTCAGATGAGTTGAAACAAAAATTTCTTGAAAAACCTCAACATAGTACCAGCCGAGGAAATGCTTTTCCGAGCCTCCTAGGAAAACCTTATAATAGAACCATGTCTTGGTTGCAAACGAGTTTTCTGAACTTTCTACATTCTGCAGTAGCATTCAATCTCCTAAAACAATAGCTGAGCAAAAACACCGTCTTCTTGGTGCACTCAAGTTGGTAATTTGCCACCCTTGGCCATCCTTGTAACATTCAATCTGCCATTGAACCAATAGAGAAAGTTAAAATCTTATATTGAAACTCCTATAGAAAGTGAAGACAGTGGAGAAATCCTCAGATACCGTGTCTACAATGTCTCCACCGGTCTTCACTCCGCCAATTACATAGATTGACTCCTTCAGAACAGCAGCAGCTGAATATCCCTGGAATGGTTCATCGGCTCCCCAGTCATCCATTTTCCAAGCGAGGGTCAAATATCTCAATGCTTGGCGACATGTCACATTCATCATAGCCTCCCAAGGCATATCTGTCAAAGCAATTATTTGAAAGATTGGCAAATAAAAGTGAGACGTAATGATTCTTAACATTTTAACAAACCAAGAGTTTTTTGAGCACATACAATATTGATTGAGTTCCAAGTGGGCCATACATCTGTGCCTGCCTGGCAACTATTACTGAATTCCATTTGCTTTCTATGTCAGACATGATATTATCTTCAACTTCAAGTAACAAAAACAGATTTCCCAAGCTAAACAAGGCAAATGAACATTTTAACAGTGAACACAATGGGCGGATGTCGTTCATCCAAATAAAGGCCAACTAGACAACAATTCAATCTTTCAAGATAGGTTCTCTAAGCCAGCTGTAAGTTTGTTACTTTTCTTGAACAATCTTTTAAAGCATAGTCAAGGTCTGTAAAATGTTGAATACCCAAACAGATGAAAAGCTTGTCAGCATTACAGCAAAAGCCCATTTGTTATTCCATCCGCTCCCAAATACTTGCCTCCAACACCACAAAATGTGTCAACCCCTAGTACTAAGAACATAATTTCTTTATTTGAGTATGAAGGATGGCTCAATTTTAATCAGTTGGCGAAGATGAGATGAGAGGGCTTGAAATGCAAAAATAACAAGCACAACCAGTGATATGTCAGAAATGGAGAAAAAAGAAACAAACTTACATCTTTTCATTCATAACGACTACTGAGTGACAGCCCTCTTGGTATTCATACTCTCAATTCTGCTCCAAGAATGTTCCCTGGGATCAAATCTTTCTGCAGATCTGAGAGAGTAGAAATTCCAATAAACAATACTATGGTCAAATTTCAAGAGACTGAAGTACAATTCTGCTTGCCATAATTTTCGTTACGTGAAAGAGATGATGCTTATAAGTTACACATAAAGAAATAAAATTCTAAACTTACTTCAAATAATTGTCCCCATCATATCCACCAAACAGCGTAGAGAGCACCATTGAGCTCTGCTGCAGCAAAGAAATCGCTGGAACATATAAGAACATCATTCAGAATGCATAATGTTAGTGCAATGAAGATGATACAGTGTTTCTAAAACTAACACTACCAAAATCAAATTGACATGATACGAATCCCATAGAAACATTAAGGTTACTAAGGCTTGTAACTTCAAAATGTAGGGAGATAAGACAAAGGAAGCACAGCTTTTTATCCCATCACTTACAAATCCTTTCATCTGTGTCAGCATAGTGACCTCAAAAGTTAAATTTTTTAGTATAAAAGAAAATATTGTAGCATTGGATGACTTGTGACTGTTGTACAAGCAAATAGCGTAATTTTAAGATTGAACATCGGTCTTATCTATGTAACATATATAAGAAATTACAGCTGCAACATACTCAAACTATAAGAAATGAGATCATCAGACAACTAAACCTCCAAGATTCACAATTATGCAAGGCCTATGCCTGTTGTCAATCTATGTACAGATGAAGCAAGGGCAAGTTACAAAGATAACGGCATGCCAAAACCAGTTTCAAGCCTAGGAATTTGAACTTTAAGGGGAAGCTTCAAGAATTCAGGATTTTCATAGTTCTGACCTCAATGACATAAGCTGATAAACTAGTTCATAACTTTGTAACCTGAGAAATTGCATCAATTACCTTTTGTAGCATTGACCTGGTGGGTATCCATCTTCCAACATTTACATCATACATTTCCACATCTGAAAAACAGTCAACCCCATTTCCACCACCAAATGCAAAAATTTTGTTGTCCAAAGTAGCGCCAGCTAAGCTACCTTTCTTCTTATTCAATGATGCGCACAGACTCCATTGATCTTGGGCAAAGTTATATGACTCAACTTCAAAAGAGTAAAAACTAGAAATAAGCAATCAGAGAGATGTGCATATACATGTATCTGCAGAGAGAGAGAGAGAGAGAGGTAAGTAAGTAGTACCTGTGTCAAGCCATGCACTACACCGTTCCACGCGCCAAACACATATAGTTCTCCATTTAACTTTGCCACTGAGGAATACGATCGAACAGAACTCATTGGCTTAAGAGATTTCAAGACATCATGTGAAGGAGAAAACAAATCCAATGCTGATGACCCACAATACACCATATATCCACCCACGAGAATATTGAATCATCAAGGTCCAAGTGGAAGTCATCACATGACTTGATTCCTGTTTCCATCCACATGCACCAGGGAAGTATTTGACCTTGACTCCAACATCATAAACCTACACTTTAGTTGGCTGATTTCTTTTTCTGCCTCTAGCTGAAATGCCAATAGGTAACAGTAATGTAAGCAAGTGCATGGATAAACATGCAAGCCAGGGTTGAATCTCCATTGTATTCAGCATATACTCCTGAGATCAAGTGATAGATTTGACAACTAATGCACCAAAATAAAACCCAAATCTCATCCTATATTCAGCGCCTATGGAGACATCAAGGAGTATACATCATAAAAGAATATGTAATGTAGCAAAGAAAACTTCAACGCAATGGGCAAACAGTGCTGCAATATCACTAAAATGCGCATAAATACTCCTACAGGCATCAATGTTCTCATTTACAGGTCAGATTTAGATAATTATACAGTCTTTGATTATTTATTTATGACGTAGACACCATAAGTGATTCCCATGCATTATCTTGAACTACAAAACATATTTGTCGAACAACTCAGCAAAATAGATACTCGATGTCTGATATGTATATAACATCTAAGAAAATTGGTCCTGAACTAAATGTTAATCACACAGATGCTCCACCCTTTAACTCTTAATGAAAAGTTCATATATCAGTCAAATCAATCCAAGAAGTCATTGTGAGAAACTTCCCTACCATTGGATAGTGAATCAATAGTCAGAAAAACATTGGGAGAGATGAAGACTCTTAATTTATCATAAGAGAATACCAGTTTCTGTTCCATACGATTTGCCTTTTGGATTTGCTCTTCTTTGAAAGCCATTAGCTCTTTCATTCCTTCAAGCATCTGCATCAAGAGAAATCAATAAGTCTGTATCGAGTGCAATCAAATAGAACATGTATTCTGTTGAAAGAGAGTAGGAACTATACAAAGATCAAATACCTGAGCCACCAGTGATGGATCAGACAAGTCATAAGAAATTACAGGATTATTTTCATTCTTCTTCCTGAAAATTCTGCCAGCAATGATTCTTGCCCCAATTTCTCATCTCTGGCAGTGGCAATTTCTCCTACATGTCCCCTCATAGGTGCATCTGAGGACTCAAGATTAATAGCTAGCTCTTTTAGTTTCAAGTAGATGATGTCTTTTGCATCTCTATCTGATTCTTGATTACCCAGGGATGACTCTAGTAGCTGGCAGTTACCAGGATCAGGGAGTTGACAAACTTGTTCCTTAAGATTGGTTGCTCATAAGCTCCAATTTCCTCTCTCTTCTCATTAGAAGGTAAACCATACAACGCATTCCTCCATTTCGCTGTGTTTTGTGGTACAAATGTACTAGGAGCAATTGCCATTGCAGAGAGTTTTGACATCAATCTACGTGCTTGAGTATGATCGAGCTCAAACCAGAAATGGCTTACATTATAATAGTTGTCCAGAATTATAGGCTTGAACTGGTCTTCTAGCAGTGGTTGACACTGCAGCCTTATACGTATTTGAACCTTCAGTAAAATTGAAAACTTAATCAACTATGCGAGTATGTCCAAAATAAACAAATAACTCAATGTAATAATAGACAATTGCAAAATAGTACTTGGGCAGGATATGGTGTTCTCTCAGAACCATCTGGTGTCCATGCATAGGGATTTATATTCATTTGTCCACAACTAGCAGCCTCAAAGATGCCATGAAGCTTCCTGTCAGTGTAATTGAACAGAAATAGTGGCAGACCCGGATCAATGTTCTTTACATACAAGAAATGCTGAGCTGGCAAGCCTGTCAGAATGAATACAATAATGAGTGTGCGAGTTTGAATGCATGAAAGAGAAAAGATGGAAATCATTCGGAGAAGGGAGAAAAACAAAACCAGTAATGAAATACATGAATGTGAAAAGATCACTTGCCTAAACATTAAAAGCCATAAACTTCTCTTTCTTCATAATTATCACCTCAATCAATCAATGAAAATGTGAATGTGAAAGACCACAACTTACGAACATACCAAAGATCTGTTTCGAAAGACATTCTTTAAACGTGTTGTTCTTGCAACCAAATATGACACCACCAAGGTTGCTTTCCCAAATTCTTGCAAATAAGTAGTGGCTGGCTGTTTCATTTTGGGAAGCAAATTGTCATTCAACTGGAAGTTTTCTTGTTTTCTTCCTACGCCCATCCTGTAAGTCCAGATTGATAAATTGTCAGATAAAGAAACAACATGAACGTTTTCTGTACTTATTGTCTCCGTAACAATCAACACATTGCTATGACTGAACACTAAAACTGAAAAACCCCTAATTGCGTTGACATTCAATTCACATTCTTTTTCCCTTTTCTTGGTGCAATATATGTAAATTCACAATAAAGGCGTTCCACAATGCTGAGTATATACTACAACTTCATAAGTCGCAAGTGAAACAAAAAGCCCATCCTAAGAAGTTCAATCAATGCGTATTTGCTTCAAACACACACGTACGGATGCATGATAGGGAATCCATGTCACTCGGCTCCTGCCCTTTCAGGCACAGCAAGGGTCAGGAATATGCATCCTCAGATCGGAACTTAAATGAATCTTTAATGCATACCACCATAAACTGCAGGCCACAGTAAAGCAAGTGTGCAGAAGCACTGAGGTGTATTACATGCTTAAAATAAGATGGTTATCCTGCACGGCTCTAACAACAGAGATTGGAATAAACAATCTTCTGTTTTGCTTGAATCTCTAACATTGCCCTCTCTCAAGACCCTTGTAATGATACTAGAAATAACTTTCTTTTATTGGTTATATCAGTTATATGTTGCATGCATCAATATGTAAATCATCCTGGACCAGATATTGGTTTCTATTTTCTAAGATGGTACAGAAATGAAAAGGAAAATAAGTTTAAACAAAAACTGTTAAACAACCTTCAATTTGTTTCCATAAAAAACATCCATAGTACAGCTGCCTAAAGATCTATTCCACTTCAAGACCCAACTTTGATAGTGTCAGTATAAACTCAAGGATGTGAAGATATTATTGTACAAAGACGAAGGACATACTGTTTATGAATAGGAGAAAGCTTGGTTCATTGCAAAAACATCTGCTCAATGTTAAAGGTCACGGGCTTAATTCAAAGCTATCATCCCTCGAATCCAACTCTCCAAACCTAAATAAAGAATGGTATAAAACAGGAAACAACTAGAATGTCCACAAAGAATGGTGGTTGTAGTTTTATTAATCTTTGATCCAAGCAGCAATGTTCTTTGAAGGTAGAGCCTTCAGCAAAGTAGGAGATTAAACCTCAAACCTAAGAAAACTATTTTTATAGACACAAAATCTCCATAACCTGGAATATTCAGGGTTACAGTCAAATGAGGACGTCGTAAAACCTTTTTTGCTGATTCTGAAACGATCTATAGACAATTGTATTTTAGGGGGAAAAAAAAAAAAAGAGTCCTAGAGGCAAGTAATCAATCGCAGAAATTGATACTATATATTGTAAGGCCCATTTCCTCTTATGGGCAGAAGGAAAAGACGTACTTTATTTACAAATAAGATTTCATAAATACAGACGTCAATGAGAAAAAAGATAGGCGCCCTCGGAAAACCATCAGCTTGATGATCTGATCCTACCATTCACATTGCGCACCTTTGCTTAATCAAAAAAGGGAAGCAAAAGAATAACAGATCCACGATTTCACTGCCAGTACAAGGCAAAAGAAACCCAGTTATAGTATTCTCATTTAGCATTCATTTTCTACTAGTATTTTATAGTAATAATCCAAAAGGGAAAGAAAAAAAATGTTAACCAATAGAACTTCCACACGACTTATCAGATATGCCAATATGCATCAAGAAAACAACTAAGGAGGGGGGGGGTGGAGTAGAGAAACAGTTCGCTTTTAAAAAAATGGAAAACTGTAATCAAACCGGAATATATATATATATATCATAAGATGCAATTATACATGGAAAAAGAAAAGAAATTAGGCAGAAAAATAATAAATGGTAGCGGGATGTGTTATGGCGTGAGAGTGCATAGACTGTGGGAAGAGAGAACCTGGAATGAAGAATGCGGGACGATGGAGAGAGAGAGAGAGAGAGTAAAAGAAAGGCCGAAAGGAAGGAGAAATAAAAAGGGGAAGTTGTCGCTGTCAGAAACTGGACGCGGGAAATGTTGACAGGCCAACTGCGACGGTTTGTTTACTGTTTACTCGACTAATTACTGGCAATACTCAAGTCCCAACTCCCAAGTCCCAACTATATATATATATATATATATATGTTTGCAGGGTATGAGTAAATAACAAACTGGAGGGTATTGTAAAGAATAAAATATAATAAATAAATAAAAGGGAAGGTTGAAAAGGTAAAGACATTTTATAAATAATAAAATATTGCAAAACATATAATACTATGAGTGTGCATTCTGGTAAAACATTCTATTACTACTACATTAAATAGATCAGCCATCCATTCCCCAACACTTGGAGCTTTGGAGCAAAGGTTTTGCTGCTAACATGATGGATGAGTGAGAGTCTGAGAGAGAGGGTACCTACCTGTATTCTCTAGAATTGATCTCCCGTGCGGTGCGGTCCGTTATTTTAAAAAAAATAAAAATAAAAACTCTCCAGATGCCAGGTATGTTTGGATAGAGAATTATTAGCCAAAATTTATTTGCTTGCATCATCATTACAATTTCCAACACATCTTTTTATCTTCCCAATTACCTTTTTATCTCACATACATCACATCACAAAAAGTGCTACAGTAAAAAATCTCAAATAATTTACAATTTTATCGATTTGGTTCTCCGGTGACTAGAGTTTTGATAAACCCTCAAATTCAGCTTACAAACAAAATAGAGCTTTTGAGTTCGGATTCAAATTTATATTAGTTTTAGGCTCAAATCAAGCTTAACTCGAACTCATATAATTGAATATATATATATATATATATATATATATATATATATATATAAGTGATATATATTTAACAATTATGATTCACTATAAATTTATATATAAATCATTAATATTTTTATAATATATATAATTAAATAGTAACTCTTATTATACTATATATTTTATGTATATAATTATACTTATAGACGGGTTGGGCCTTAATCAAACCTGAGCTCAGCAAAGCTCAATCTCATCTTACATTTCATTTGAGTCTAATGTTCAAATTCCAACTCCGTCCAACCTAATTATTAAATATTAAATTTGACTAGCTTTTGTTGAGCTGGGACTAGGGTCGGACTAACCCGATCCTATTTAACAGTCCTAACCGCGAATACTGACTCGCCCAAACCAAACATGAACCAAGCACATTTGTTCCTTGCCATCATGGAGAAATTTTGAATAACATCCAAATTATTCTTTAACTTTTTAGGAAAATAGAAGGTTATTTGCAAAAAAATATGCTCCCGTAGTAGCACTTTTTCGTGCATGTAATGTATATAAGATGAAGAGATGATTGAAAACATTTTTTAACAAGTTGTTAAAATACGTGCGTTTGTGATACAAGTAAAATATATTTGCAAATAATAACTTAATTTGTTTTGTATGTACCTTGGCTCAAAACAAAAAAAAATTTTTTTTTTTGGGTCTTGAAATGGGTCGGACTCAATCGTCTTACACTTTGCAAGAGCTGGATTCAACCTAACCTAGGATGGTCTTGAGCTTGAGGAGCCCAGTGGCAAGAGGCCCACCGCACACCACATCAAATCCAATTTCTGAAGCTCGGCTGGCGCCAAATTTGAGAACGTTTGTCTATTGTGGACTGTAGACAAACTAAACACATTCAGAAGCTGTGTAATAACCAACAACAACGTATTTCAGGGATAAAATTGGGGAGTCCGAGAAAAGCGAAGAAATTTCTACTTAAAAAGGTAGATGGAGATGCATTTCAAAAATAAACTCTTCTCTTTCAGTAAGTTAATGGTGAAACACAAGAAGCAAATATATAATATACTTAGAACGGGGTAATCAGCAGATTTTTAACATCAAATCCTACTATAGAAACTAGTCCACGATTTTGTCCATGGGTCAACGTAGTATTGGACTCGAACTAAACAACGCAGAGGCGATGCATTAATAATTGGCTGGGCTGGATAGAGTAGGCAAATGATTGGGTG